AGGGCCTTTTTAGCCAATTTTTTTTCACCCTTGAAAATTTAAGGGCGTGTGCCCTTAACCCCCCAAAATCCCCCAGCCAGTTGGGGAACAGTTGACTGGGGAATTCTGGGGGTTGAAGTCCACACATCTTATAGTTGCTAAGGTTGAGAAACACGGATTTAGTCTGTTACCTGTTACTTTGAAAGCATTTTCAAAGCCTTCCCTCAACAACTTTTGAAACCTGCAATACTTTATTTTTTTGAGTACTTTACTTCCAAAAATTCTCCTATTCCTTTGGGTCCATGGTAGCCGTTTTCTGGAGGTGCTAAGGAATGAGCCAGTATGGGAAAAGCTGGAGGCAACACATGAAACATATTGATTCAAGTTTCTCATTCACTTCTTAAGGTTATAGTGACTAAAATTAGTCCCCCAACACCTCCTTTTGCTAGGACCCAAAAGCCACAGGTTCCTCAACCCAGACATAGACTCGGTTAAAGTATTGTTATTCCTGTGCCTTTTCTTTGAATTGAGAATGACACATGGCTAGAGATATTCTGTGTGTTCCTTGCTGCAATTAATCTTTCTGTTCCTTTGATTAATTACTGACATATAAAGTACTGTATCCCTCCCCATTTATGACCTCAGAGCTTTCTCTCTCCCTTAGCAACAAACACCATTGCTTCTCGATGGCACACATAGAAATATCAGAGCCTATCCATTTTCAGATGAGGTTAACTAATTACAGAAAATTTGATATAAGTTTTAAAATGCATAGCTTGTTCTACTTTTATTGTCTTCTAGCGTTTCCTGTCCCATACCCATCTTCTCCTTACCCTTTATCAGTATTTTTCTGTTTTTCTTTTGTGTTACAGTTTTGATTAATCACATTTATCTTCCTCGTTATCCATTGAATCTTTCAGCTTCCTTCTGTCATTATACACTGTATTCATTGAAACACAAGCAACCTAGAACATTTCCAGTTTTGATTCACTGAAATGCAGTCTGCTCAAAACATTGTGATGGAATTGTCCAAATGATTTGAGCTATATTTGAACAAAATGTAGTTTCGTTTACTCAATGAAACTCATTTGAAAAAGTGGCTAAGAATATAAGAACCCGAGGAGAGCTCATCTGGATGAGATGAAAAGCTTATTTTTATTTATTAACAAAATCTTGCCAAGCATCCTGTTTCTCAGGGAAGCCAGATACATCTGTGGAACCCAGAAACAAACAGTCCTGGCCTATTGCTCCATATCAATGGTTTTAAGAGCGTGTTCCTCTGACCTAAGAGGTAGTATAAAACCATAATTACTAGTAACCTTGGTAGCATAATTTTCAACAAGTTGCTAATTATTTCAGCATCCCCCATCTTTATTTGTATTTAATCAGTTACTCCAATATATGGAAAATAGTCTGTTTTGTGTTGCGTATTTTATGTAAAATAATTTTTATTTCTACTAAGGAAAAATTTGTCTCACTTGATGTATGTGTCTTGCAAAATCACTGTGTATAATTTAATATACTGTGCAAACACAATCACTAAGCCAGTATAAATCACAATGGCTAGTGTCATAATAAGACTAAATAAACCATGGTTTACAACCACAGTAGCTGCATGGATATAACATATTAAGTGATAAACCACCATTTATAATCTACATTTGCTAGGTTGATACAACTTATCATAAGCATCTGATATAAACAATGATGTCACTTGCATCATATCATGATACAAATGAGATCAATAATGTACTTTGCATCATTTGTGTCATGATGTCATGACATGTGTGATATCACTGGCCTCCCTGCCCTCAACCATGAGATGAGCTAAGCCAGAATCAAACATGCCACAATATGACTTAGTGTGACAGATTGTCCAGCTGCTTTGTCATGTCTAGTAAGAGATGAGCTACAATCCTCTGTATCAACTAAAGCTCCTGGCCTTATGGAAACTTGTATATTTCAGTCATCTTAGCATATGTAGGTAAATAGTGATAGAAACAACTACTGCTACTACTTCCAAACTTGAATGAAAGGATTGTTATCTTTTCATAAAGTGGAGATTTTTGCTGAACAATTAAGTTCTACACGCCACAACTTGGATGCTGGCTAGATACAGAACTCTTGAAGCTTCTGTAGGTGTTCATTTAAAAAAGAATTTTTAGAATAAGTAGCTGGCATGATGGTAACACCTACATAAATTTGTTCTTCTATGCAACACTTACATGTGCAATAACCTGTCCTCTTTTGCATCTGGCTACTCTAAGTCTGCATAGTAAAATTTCAGGATCCACGATTGAACCAAAAACACCCTGCAATTCTGAGTATTCCAAAACCAAGACAGTTTGAACAAAACCCAGTGTCTTCCAACTCTCGCTCAAGGTTCTGAAAGCACAATTTGGAGCAAAATTTCAGAATAGCTTCAAGTTATATTTGCTACTCAGTGGATCATTCTCTTGCCAATCGTTGGAAGTTAAGCAAAAGAATGATGTGACACAGAGCTATGCCAGAGCAATCCTCCTTCACTGGAGCTCTTATTCACTTATGATGGACAACGTGGACCTATTCATGTAGACATGGATAAGAAATAACAGGTGATGAAGAAAGCGATTGTGCAAGCTTGTGATCACTATTAAAGTTTGTAATAACTATGCTAATAGCCTGTTATTGTAGGGGAGAAGTCTTGAGAAGATTGCTATTTTACACTAGGGCAGGAGTAGCACATTTTTTCTTACTAGTGATTTTATTCTGCCTATATTGTGTTATGTTAGTTGTTAACCAAAGGGCTGGCCTTAAAGATTGGATATTGCATATTGAGCACTAAGCCTAGCATTGAACCGCAGGGAACACCAATAAAACAGTGGATCAGTATTTGTAGACTAGATCTATCTGCAGTGAAACAAAGATGAGTTTAAAAAACGGTAAACATCCTTCCCTTTTTTCGACGTTATATAAGTTGTTTTCAGTGGTGCGTAAGTTATTTTCAGATGGCTAATTATAGAAATGAATTTCCATTAATAAGTGTTTCTTTTTCAATACCTAGTTTTATGTTTGAAATAAAAATAAATGGACAGCATTGCTAGTTCTTACATCTTGGCAATGTTACAAAACTAAGAGGGAGTGCATTATTTATTTAAAGGATTGCCTTGGTTAACAAGAAACAGCAAACCACGTCATGTCCTAAACGCTCAGCTGAACGGCTTTGGCTGTTAAACAGCAGAGGGGTGGGGGAGGAAGTGGGGTTTTCCACAACTAAGTTACAAGGAATTAGCTACTTACAAGCGTTTATTGCATGATGCCGAGTTTCCCTTAGAGCTTCACTAGCTTACTATGAAATGGTGCTAGATCATCATCAGATGAAAACTGATGATGCTCTCAGGAAATAGTAGTGACTGGCAATGGCAAAATTAGGTCATCCACTTTAGGGTAGTCTAAACAATTGACATACCACCCTCCAACACAGTACTAGAGAGTGCAACCTTACAGCAGAAATTCAGCAAGCACTCCAAAGCTTATCTGTACAATAAAAGCTAGAGGAGCAATAGTCAGTTTATGAGGAACCTGTCTCCTTCCACTGTTGCTGACCTGCAACTTCCAGCAGCCTCAGCTGGTATGGCCGATGGTGAGGGACACTGGGGATTGTAGTTCAGCAAAATCTGTAGGGCACATGTTCTCCACCCCTGATCTATGCTAAGTTACATTTCTCATCACAGCATTAAGTTTAATAGCAATTTAAAGTTAAGAAAATTTATTTCAAGGAACCATACAGATCTATTCCATTAGAAAAGCTATGCTGGCATTACTTTACAAAAGGAAACATTTTCAGCCAATTAAACTTATAAAATAAAAGTGTAACACCTTTAACAACAGAAAGCCAATCTTGGATGTACAGATGCATCCTGTATATGTGTGCTTAAGAGACACAGGAAAAAAATCTTTTAATATATGCATAAAAACAGGTATAGAAACAGAGTTAGGATAAATTAAGCTAACTGTGTAGCTATGGAACAACATTGTTTTCTTTTTAAAAAAAAACATGAAACAAACATTTCAGGAATAGGTTATAGCGCAGGATTTTTTTTTCTGAAACATCAAATATATATTATATTCAAGCTGTATCAGTTTTCCACTTTGCAATGGGGGAAGATTCCACAAAGCTATTGTTTTTACCTGATTATTTTTTTTAGAAAGAAAAATTAATACCTCCTTCCATTCAAACAACATGGTATAATCTATTTTTCATTTCCTCAGCATCAAAATCTTAATTCTATCTTCAAATTACAGCATCTATGAAATCTGATTTATTTTCATTTCTCCCATTTCCTTAATCTCAACCTTCTGATATTTCCCAGTCCTCCATCTTCTAATAATCACAAGCACGGTAATCCCAATTATAATGGCCAAGAGAACCACCACCACCACTGCAATAACACCAGCTGTCAGGTGCTGCATTGAGAACTCTGGGGGGATTTCATCAACATAATAAATTAGGATTCCTTCAATATCTAATGGTTCTCCATTGACAGTGATTTTAAATATATTATCAGAGGTAAAATGGGAGTCACGTTTGATATCTTTTTCAAAGTAATACGCTACATCTGCAATATCCACATCTCTGTAAGACTTCTGTGAAATGTTCTGTTTCAAGTCAATACGGATGAATGGGTAATCATACTTAATAGAAGGGATGAAGCTTGGTTGGAGCATGTACCGGCTCTGAATGAGTTGCAGGAGACTGCTTGCTACTTCGGACTCAGAGAAGGCAGATTCACGCTTTTTGTGCTTTAGGTCAATGAAAATCCGGTTGGTTCTAACAAGCTCGTTGCACCGTATGTTTTTATCACTCTTATCCGTTCTCCTGACCCCAGCACTGTTCACACACCAACAAGTATCTGTATGATTGCATTGCCTGGCTTTGAAGATGCCACTGTTGTCACAGTCTGGATCATATAGCCCATCATTATCCAAAAAACCAGTTTCAGGTTTTGAAAACCGCCTGCCTTTTGGGGCACCCACCTCTGCCTTCATAAGCAGACATTTAGACGTCAGCGTTGAACAGTCCACTTTCTGATTTGAACCCAGAGCCTTGCAGACGCAGCTACCATGCTCCACAACACAATGCGTCCGTCTGTTGGTTGGACATATGCAGTACTCCTGTGCTGCTGATGCAGCCATGACCATCAAAAACAGTATGATTCTGAAAGTAGACTCCATAGGTTGGAGAGGATGAGCAGAAGATGGCTTTGGAAAAGGGCAGTTGAATACAGCAGCCTGAAGACAAGATCCATCCACAGCAAGAGCCTCCCAGTTTCTGTGTGACTGGGTGCACCTCCTGCTTCCTCTCTTTGAAAATGAATGTCAGACCCACCCAATCAATTTAGCTCGTGACTCACAAACAAAACAGGTCAAAACAGAGGCCAAAGAGCACTACACCTTCTTCCATTAGGGTGTGGTAGCATCTCTCATTTCTTTCCTCCCACTGAATGAGGAAGCACAAGATGCCAAAAACACAGAAACCAATATAACACTACTATAAGCTCTTTTGTGAATAGAAACACACCTCCCTCATGGGCTGAGCTTTAAGTGCCAGGCTACATACCAATGGAAGACCATACTGCATATTCATTCTGTTAGCTATAGGGTGTACACCTGCAACAGGATAGATTAATGTTGGCTTCAGGGGTCAGTACACACAATGGACAGAACTCAAGGATGGAGAGGAAATTGAGTAACTCTCTTCAAAGTTTTTGAGGATTCAGTGGTTCTTGATGGTCAGCTCTTGAGTGATTTCAGATGAACTCCTGAGATATCTCTTTAATTCTTCCATGAAACAGTGATGAGCATGCAAATAAGTGATAGTGCAAGACCAATTTTAAGAGGAATACTTATTATCTCTTGAGATGACTCAAATGCTCAACCCTGTCTCATTTATAGTTCACTTCCTCTAATATGGAGTGGATTTTTGAGGTCCCTGACAGGGTAATTTCACACAATCTATCCTTATTCACTTAAACAGTGTACCTCTGGCAAACATTGACATCTGCAAGTATGTTCACTGGGGAACCATGATTGACCAGTGCTCTATGGCAAATTGGGTTTTGCTTCAGTGGGATATGAGAAATGGCTTTTTCAGTCAAATGGTATTTGGGGAAAGTTGCTCCCAGTCGCACTGACCTTTAGTAACTTGCTCTCCTCTGAATCACAGAAACACAGCCAGTGGGAACAAGGACTTTTTAAAAAAAAATCTATAGTTATCAGAGGGAGGATATTTCACACAATGAGGAAATATCCATTTCATCTCCCTATACAGAAAACATTCTTCAAAGGTCCATTCCTCCATTTTATAGCTTTTGTACTGTGAGACTATCTTCTCTGGTGCATGTTGCTTGAATTGGTTATTTTCGATAGGTTTTTAAAAATTGTGTCCCAGTGCTTTTTCAAAACAGTTGCTATTGCAAATCATAGGAACACCTACATATTCTTAAAAGCTGCAGTGCTACATCCTGGATCTAAGCCACATGGGCTTTCGTGGGAATTACTTTTTTTAGTGCACGTCTAGAGTTGCATTACAAGAAACCAGACTTGTAATTTTTCAATGTCACATATCCAAGGCTTTGCTCAGTCTCTGCTGCACTTGAGATGTGTGCTAAAATTTTGCTCTGGTAGCCTGTGAGATACTTTGTCTTACATATTGAGGATTCTCTAATAAATGAACCTTGTCCCTGCACTTTTAACATACAAGGAATGATTAACTAAAGCACTTCAATTACCCAGTTTCGGGATGGGGGTGCCCATGTTACTCTTTTTCAGTAGCAATAAGGAACAAACTTGTGGTACCTTAAAGAGTAATTAAAGTTGTTACTCTTTAATTTGCTACAAGACCCTTTCTTATTTTAGTTATCTAGTTAGTCCCTAGTATTACCTCTGACATCTGATTTGGGATAACTGTCTCTGAAACCAGTGTTTCTTTTCCTTCCTGTTCCTCAATTCTTCTCCTATGCTACTCATCAAATACTGTTGTTTGAGCCCTTTCTTCCACGGGTGTTACTTCCTTCCACTTTTTTATTACTGCCAAAACATTCCGCAGTGTATTACTAGTAGTACTGGCTAGAAAATTGTGTGGCAATCTGAAAGCATCAGGGAAACAACAGGCAAAATTTGAAAGCACCTTTCCCAAACTCTCGATGCGTTGGGACTGAATGCCCAGCTGGCTGAAAATTCTAGGCACTGCAGAACGCCAGGGTGTCAAACAGGTTTTGAGAAAGTAAAATATCCAGGAAATAACCGAAGCAGAGGAAAGAAGGATAATTGAAGGAGAATGAAAAGCAGGATAGGATAATCTCCAGTTTGATGGGAATTGTCATCAATATTAACTGGGCATAGACATGTCTATACCAAGTTCATTTATTATATAATTTCTATTCATGAAACAGAATTTGATCAAGAACACCACCAGGGATGTTTGCAAGAGCATAAAAAAAAAAAATCAAGATGGGGGCTGCAACCATCTGAGTGAAGCCCCGCCCCGATGTGTCACACACACACACCATGTGAAAAAAGGCCGGGCTTCAATCCCACAGTCACAGCTGCCATCCTGACTTTTTGGAGACGCACACAAACACTCCACAGGCGCTACAGATGTAGAACAATCCATGAAATGTCCTCTGTCTTGAAAATTCCATGCAAACACAATCCTAATATAGAAAGGAGGAAAAAGATCTGCCCAACCATTTTAACTGGTGTGCTCTCTTGTGGGGTAGTTGTTTCTCCTGTGTATGTTCCTATATACATGGGAAAGCTTTGCAAGTCATGTCTCCCACCCAGGGTCACAGAAATGTCTTTCAAAGGCCCAGCTACTTGTGCCTTCATGGGCCCCTCCTGCCATAAAAAATAATAGTATGGAAAATTATATTTTTATATGATTTCCAATATTTTCCTCATACTTTTATGGAGAAATAGGGAACAGTATATAATAGATGCATTATTTTGTAATAATAATCTGTTGTTTCCAATTAATCATAATGTCTGCCACGTCTCATTATAGTTACTAAATTTTAGTATTCACGCTATGCCTATAGGTTATGAATAGCATCGTTGGTTGGATGTTCACGTGCTTCGCGCACAAAATGTGAACACTTCTTGGCTGTCTTTATGAAAAGGCATGAAGATAAATAAATAAATATTAAAAGGCATGAAAATCAGTAACTTCTTCATTTTTATTCTGTGTGTGTGTGTGTGTGTGTGTGTGTGTGAAAAAAAAAAATTTGTGGGCCCTAGGCATGGTGCCTATTGTGCCTACTGGAGATGTCAGTCCTGTTCTCACCTGCAGTCTGGAAAAGTGCTGACCTGTCTATCAATTCGACTGTCGTGCTGGAGAAGCTCAGTTTTTAACCAAGAAGGGGCTGGTTTGAATCTGACCTCTCCCATCTATTACAAAAGATCATAACCTTCTCTTTTCCTCAGTCTCAGCTCTCCAACACCATCTGAATATAAAAAACATTATCTTTCATTCCACAATTACTGCAAGGATTAAAAATATATACTTTTATTACATTGGTCACCTCCCTATTCCCATAGTTTTCCAGGCCACCTATGACTGAACCAGTAAGGCCAAAACGCAAACCAAATTGTACAATCCAACTATCAAGTTAAATCCAACATGGACCCAGAAAGACAAGATGCACAGAAAGAATTACTGTATATTAATCTGACAGGAATAAGAACAGAATAATCCATCACTGTCAGAAGAAGCTAACATAATAGTCCTGATTAGACTTGAGATAAAGTGAGTTACTTCATGTTTACAAAAAAAAACATGCATGTACTTCAAAGCATTATACAGATATGTTGTAATTAGTATCATTCCTTCTCCCACCTATGCAGAGCCAGGGAGACTACTCAAGCCTTGTGTCATCAGTAGAGAAGATGTTACTCTACAAACACTGAGGAGACAAAGGGAGCACAGAAGCTTGTTACCCATTCACTTAATTTCCCCGATACAATATCAATTACTTGGTATTTTTAAAGCAATATATGGACTGTACAGTCTGCAAAGCTTTCCAGGGTACATCTGCAGCTGAATCAGGAGGACGCATCTTTCTGTAATGGCGTCCACATTGTTTTAATGGGGTGCCATGCTGATTCCCCACAGCTGTTCCATTCCATTTGCATGAGCCTACCCAAGAAAGTCCCTCTATGGGGTTCTCACTGCCTGTTTTTCAGGGTAATGGGTGGGGTCTGGAGCTGAGATTGACGGCTCAGCATCTATTCATCTTGCTTTCACAAGCTATCCAATGACATGAGAGAACCAATAATGAGTGTGAACCATCCTTCATTAAAAAAAGAACTGGTTATGTAAGTCCTTATTTCCATTCATTTACATGGATCAAGGATTGCACCATTTATTTAATCATGGGATTTGTCCCTGCCTCAATCCAGAGGGACTCCAGGAGTTCACAGATTTTTTTAAAAAAACCTAATAAAAACAATAGCAAGCAATATTAAAATACCACTATAGCAGTCATAATACATTACAGTATTGCCTTAACTAATCTAGCACTGATTGCTCTATAGCTAATCCCAAAAGGCCCCCCAGGAAAGCCAAGTTTTTACTAGCCTCTGGAAGGCCATAAGAGTGGGGGCCAGCCTCACCTCAGGGGGCTGGTCCACAGAATGGGAATTCCCACAAAAAAATGCTTGCTGCTTCATCCATATTCATGACATATCAAGTCATTTCAGTTTTTGGAATCTGTCTTCTTTATTAGATAAAGTTGCAGGAGAGGCATATGAGAGGAACACAAATTGGAATCCAGTGCCTTGGATCTCAGCTTGGATGCATAATTGTAAGTATTCAAAAATCTGGAATACGCGGGTTTTATGGTAACTCCTAGAAACAATTTATGGGTGTAATACAGTAAATCTATTCTGCAAAACAGCTTCCTAATGCTTTTATTCTTCTCTCCAGAACTTCCTAATCAAAATAAAGATCCATTTTCAAATGAAGACTTTCCGCCATTATTTCTCCCAAAACACAACCCTAGGTTACAAGCTATTTAATAGTTGAGCCCCTCTCCTCAACTATTGAGGAGAAAGTATAATTGAATTTGCTTATTCTCATGTTGGTGGATCTAAGTTTACAGCACAAACAACTTGAAAACATCAGTCACAACCATAGTTGTTCTAGACCACTAATTCCTATCATGCAGATTGGAACTGATTACCAGTTTCAAATTCAAATTCTGAATTTTTGCACAGTTCTAACCATTACTTGCCTAGAATTCTGTGTCTTTGCTTTTTCCCTCTTCCTTTAGTGTTAACTTGCAATGCTAAACTTAAAACTATTTAAAGCTTAAAGGTGCTCCTCTTCTGTACTGCTGGTCTAGACCATGTGGACAGTCCCCATTGGCCTTAGTGCATACTCACATCAGGTTTCTGGAAATTAACCACACTGACACTTTAGAAGAATTTTTTGCATGGGTTGCTCCTATGTACTACCAGTGTACCACCCTTTGACCAAAAGTAACTTTAGAATCTGCAATCAACATCTGTATTTGATTCATCCTTTTATAAAGCCAGATGCCATTTCCCAGATCTTCTTTAGCAAATGGCACTATATCATGTTCTACTGATATATTCCTGTACTACTTTGCCCTCCTCCTTGTTTTCTAGTTTCTCATCTACATTAGGTCAGAGCCTTTTAGGTGAGCCATAACATTTTGCTTAATTCTTAAAGAGATGGGGGTACCAGACCATCTTACTTGTCTCCTGAGAAATCTATATGCGGGCCAAGAAGCAACAGTTAGAACTGGTCACGGAACAACCGATTGGTTCAAAATAGGGAAAGGAGTACGACAAGGCTGTATACTGTCACCCTGCTTATTTAAAAAAAAAACTAAGATCATGGCATCTGGACCCATCAATTCCTGGCAAATAGAAGGGGTAGAAATGGAAGCAGTAACAGACTTCATTTATTTGGGCTCCAAGATCACCACAAAAAAAAACTAAGATCATGGCATCTGGACCCATCAATTCCTGGCAAATAGAAGGGGTAGAAATGGAAGCAGTAACAGACTTCATTTATTTGGGCTCCAAGATCACCACAAAAAAAAACTAAGATCATGGCATCTGGACCCATCAATTCCTGGCAAATAGAAGGGGTAGAAATGGAAGCAGTAACAGACTTCATTTATTTGGGCTCCAAGATCACCACAAAAAAAAACTAAGATCATGGCATCTGGACCCATCAATTCCTGGCAAATAGAAGGGGTAGAAATGGAAGCAGTAACAGACTTCATTTATTTGGGCTCCAAGATCACCACAAAAAAAAACTAAGATCATGGCATCTGGACCCATCAATTCCTGGCAAATAGAAGGGGTAGAAATGGAAGCAGTAACAGACTTCATTTATTTGGGCTCCAAGATCACCACAGATGGAGACTACAGCCATGAAATTAAAAGACGGTTGCTCCTTGGGAGGAAAGCTATGGCAAACTAGACAGCATATTAAAAAGCAGAGACGTCACCTTGCCGACAAAGATCCACATAGTCAAAGCTATGGTTTTTCCAGCAGTAATGTATGGCTG